GGAAGGGACAAGAAGAAGACAAGGTTCTTCTAATTAAATGCAACGTCATCCACCTATATATTACAGAATGGTCTGGCAGTTTTGTAGGATTTCTGTTCCCGTGCACCCTCCTTCCTAATCATATCATTTCAGTTTAACTTTGCATCTGTGCGTTTACTGGTACAGCTGAAAAATAAGCTAAGTAGACTGAGGCTACAAATTTACCTGTCTTGAGAATATTCATACTCTGTCAACACCTTGCACAGGGATAAATTGATGTCCGCTTGTCCTCATCCTTATCTCTTTTGCCTTTTCTGTGATCCCCTCCAGGCTTGTCTATATATAACCCACCTCCTTCCTGTTTTAATATTTTTTAATGAAGTGACTATTTTTTTTTCTGTAGCAGTGACCACATTGAGTAGTCTTCTCAGAAACAGGCAGATTTGAGCCCAAGTTCATGTATGTATTTGAGATAGAGAGAAATATTAAAAAGAGCTGTAGAATGTATATAGTGCTCATTAAGATGGTATAATAAAGCATTCACTTAAATTGCTTTCAGGGCAAACCATCCTTTGCTTTCCTCCATACTTTGTAATATGCATTAGACTGTACATATTTGGGAGTAAGGGAGTGTATCTTTTCATCTTTGTGTATCCAGTGCCTAATGTGGTTCTTGTTATTTAGGTGCACAGTAAGTTTTGGGTTTTTTTGGGTTTTTTTCCTGAGGAAGATTGGCCCTGAGCCAACATCTGTGCCAATCCTCCTCTGTTTTCCATGTGGGTCGCTGCCACAGCATGGCCACCCATGAGTGGTGTAGGTCTGTGCCCAGGAACCGAACCCGGGCCGCTAAAGTGGAACGTGCTGAACTTAACTGCTGGACCACAGGACTGGCCCCAGTTTTTGTTGAATGAATAAGTAATGGTTTGAATAATCAAACATGAACTTACTCAAATGTTGGAGGGACTTGAATGATGGGGAAAATGCAGAAAAAGTCTGCCCTGTGTCTTTGTTCACTTTCACTGACTATGCTCTTAGACCAACCATGGTCTTTCCAGCATTATCTGGGGACTCTTGCTTTTCATTTGGAAGTGAAAAAGCACAAGCAGAAAAGAGAAAAAAGTTCATGAATAAGGGCCTAAGGTGGTATGAATCTGTGATTCCAGAGATTGAGAATAAAAGCCCACGGGGTTCGCTGACTTTATTCACCTCTCATGGCTGCTGATGGGTGGGTGACAAAATCGGTGTTGATCAGCCTAAATGAGATGGCACCACCCTCCAGCTGACGGCTTCTTCTAAGACCAGTTCCAGTGATTTCATTACACGGTGCCCAACACAGAATCTACCAGAACCTGCTTTACGTTAGATCACATCCCATAGCCTTTCATGACTGATCCTGTCTGGGTCTCTGTATCTTTTATAAGTGGGAAAGCTGGAGGTTAATTGCAAGATTTGATTTGCCTCTTGTTAATCATTCTGAACGAATAAAAAATATGTTGAGAGTTTTAAATTGTATCCTAACCTCCTTTTATTTTTATTTTGCTTATTCGTTTGTTTTACTTGGCTGTGTTTGGGATTGAGAAGCCCAAATGTAAATATTAATTTTTTTTTGCTTTAAATAAACTGATTGAGCATATGCTATTTACAAAGGACCATGCTAGGCTCTAGGTGATATAAAAGTAAATGCCATTTGGTCCTTGTTTTCAAACAATATATTGACTGATGAGTGACAGAAGTGTACTTTACTCTGAGGTATGATATTATATGAAATCATACTAGATAGAACCATGGCCAAGCTATTAATTGAGGAAAAAGTTGTTGTTCTTCAAATAAAATCCCTCATTTTTCCCTTATGAAAGATAAATTTAAATGTCAAGCACAGAAAAATCGAATAAAATAGTGAAGTCAGAAAATACTTAGTTTTTAAATCAGATGTCATTCATCAAGCACTTGTGAGTTACTGTAACTAATATAATTTATTAGTATAGTGCTTTTCTTTACATTATTGCATTTAACACAATTAAATTTGAACTACATACAGAGAGGTAGGAAAATATTTACAACATAAATTTAACATGTACAGTATATGAAAAGTCCTACAAATCAATAGAAAAGATAACCCAGTTTTTTTAAAATTGACAAAGGATGTGGATAGTTCACAGAAAAGGAATTCTGAATGGCCAGCAAGTGATATTCAAACTCACTCTCAGGAAAATGCAGACTAAGTGAAAATTTGGTTCCTCATTTCACCTATCATATTGCCAAAAAATTAAATTTTAACAAGTGTGCAAAGAAGCAGGTACATTGACTATTGATAGTTAAAAGTTCCAGCATTTTTAGAGGGCAGTTTGATAGGGAATCTGTCAAAATCCCAATATCTGAAAAGTTCCATTAACCTCTGACCAACAATTCCACGTTGACGTGCCTGTCCAGCAGAACTTTGCAACTTGTACCCAAAGCTGTGAGTGCATAGGCACCAAGTATTGTTTGCAATAGCAAAAAAGAATGGAATCAATCTAAATGTATATTAATGAGCAAATATTTAATAAATTGTACCCTAAATATTTTACAACCATTGAAGTGAGGTAAATAAAAAGGCCCTACATGAAAAGATTGCTAAGACACGATGTTAAATGAAAAGGCCATGTTATAAAATGTGTTTAAGAATATTTGTGGGAAGTGTGTGCATTTTTATGTAGGCTTCTAAAATGGATAACTAGGTCTAACAAGATAAATGCCAAATTCTTAGTGGTGTTTAGAGAGGGTAGGGCATAAAAAATAGAGATAAGTTTTTTAATCCTGTATATTTCTGTTAACTTAGTTGTCCAAAAAACATATATTACTTTTTTGTAATTTTTTTAAAGTTATCAAAAAAGTGCTTGTGATATATCTAGGAAATAGGACAGAAACCAGATCTTTACCTAACTTTTGTTCAGTTTTTCTCTTACTGTTTACTGCTTTTCTGTGTCACCTTTTTAGATCAGTAATTCTTCATTGTCTATAGCATTTTCTTTTCATTTAAAAACAAATTATGAATTCTTATTAAAATAGACTCGTAGAGGCAGTGGATTTTCAACATAGCATCTTGTAACTTGAAGCAACTTTTAATGATAATTTATGATAAATGTCTTGGAATAGTCTAAAATATGAAATCTTTTGTCTTGGAGAAACTGCCTTTTAACACATTGGTCTAACATAAGGATTATGCATTTACTGGCTTTGTTTTCAAAAATTGTACAGGGCTTGCATGCTGAAACCAAGAGCCACAGATGTGTACGAGCCACCCACTGTCTCCATTGTTCTCGTTCTCAGTAGCCACTTCTGTCCATCTGGAAGAAAGGGGCATTAAGGTTGTCTCACTCCCCCTGTGGCTTCTGCCAAGCAGAGCTTTCGACGCCAAGGCTTCCTTATTCTTCTTAGTGGGAAGTAACTGGACTGGGCCCAAATGGTTCAGAACTGTGCCATTTTGAAGAGATCATTGAGAACTACCATTGACCTGGCCAAACTTTGATAAAAGGGAATGTTTTGGTCTTTTCCTTCATAGTTGGCATTCCAGTTGGGAATGTTGCCTGTAAAAGATTATTCTGTTTTCTTTTGAACTTTTTGTAAGAAGCAGCTTAATAGATGGAAGGGTTCATAGTTATCCTGGTATTTCACTTGAAAATATTTTTGAAAATGAGACCTTGCAAGGAACATGGATGTTTCTGTCTAAATCCTAAATGATTACTTTATCCTAATTTCCTGTTTTCTGTTGAGATAGTTGTGCTCTTAAGATAATTTTTAGACTGAAATAGGTCCCTTATATTTTTCAACTTTTCAAATATAATTGAAAGTGTACATATCCAGAGAAAATAAGTGTAGACTCAGGATTTTAATATGAGAATTTTAAAACTTTTCCCATAATTGTCTCTTGCTAACTTAAAATTAGTATGGCTTTCTGCCTTGGTTTGTTTATATTTTTACCTTTGAGTGTCTCTTCATGTATTAGTGGGAGGGTTTGGGGGGTTGTTGAGGAGAATATTAGTGCTGCTGTGGGAATATTTTTATTTTTTGGTTAGATCTGCCCTCCATGTGAGATAATCTGTGTCATTATAGTGCTCATATTTCATGTCTCGGAAAGATCGTAAGTTATTGTCTGCTATTTGCCAGGTATTGGACTAAACGCTTTGTATGCATTTTCTCATTTAACCATCACAGCCACCTTTGGAAATAAATATAATTATCATCCCTGCTTGACAGATGAGGAAACTAAGGCTTAGAAAAGTTGGAATCTATAAAACTGTGAGATGCAAAACTGGCAGTTGAATTTAGATTCGTCTCACTCACAAGCCCAGGCCCTTAATCTCTATGTCATACCGTCTCTCAGAGCATTCCAGGAGGAAAACTTTCTCAGGGAAGGCTATAAAAACGCTTGCTTTATTTCTTCATTTTCTTATTTCTCCATTTTTTTTTTCTCATTTTCATACTCTTATGATGGAAATAGTTATTGAAAATGCAAAAACGTCTCTTTAAATATTTCTCTAGCTTTGTATAAATCTGCTTCAGTCCAGGTGGGCGTCCTTTGTACTTCTGCCATTGTCCCTTGTGATGCCCTTGTAGGAAAGGATTCTCTCTGGACTGGATCCTGTGCTGTTTGCTCATGTTGGAGTTTTGATTCATTGTATTCTTAACATTTCCAGTGCCCTACTATCTGAAGGGGAGAGTGTTTTGAATATAAATTCTGCTTATCTAAGGTAACAAAATTTTGTAACTACAAAACCTAAGCGCTTAACTAGAAAATCTTATCTTTGGGGTCGTATCACTGTATGCCTTTCTGGCTTTATATTCAGTTCTCTCAGGGTATAAATTCCATAACTCCTGCAGTTTGAGACTAAAGATTTCCGGCGAATACAAAATAAGAAAGGATAAACACATATGCACCTGCCATATAGTTTTGATAATAAAAGTGTCTTATGTTGGTTTTCCATGCCATTGTTAACCACGTTTTATGTGGTAGTAACATGTCGTCTTCTCTGTGTTCACAGGGCAGCCATTCTACGAAAGTGGAAGCTGTGGTCAGAACTCTGATGAGAATCCAGCGTAGAGATCCGGGGGCTAAAGCCCTGGTGTTCTCGACGGTACAGTCCACCTTCTCATCCTCCACGTTAGCTCAGGCTGGCTTTCTGTCTCCATCAGTTTATATCTGAGAACTGGTTGTTGTTGTTTGCCGTGATATCATAGAGATTTAGAATTATTAATAGATTTTTCCATGTTAGATTTTTTTCCTGTGTTCATAGGATAGAATTATCTTTAGAGAAATTTGATGATGCTTCACAAGGCAATTCCCATAGCTACAGTTCATGTTTTTATATTAATTTCACTTAGGGATTTTCTTATATTAGTGTTTTTAAAATTGAAATTCGTAACCTTGAAAGTCTCATTTCACAAATGAACCTGATTATTTAAGAAAAAGAAAATTAATCTACTGAATAAAATATTGAGTAAAAATTCTAGTTTCATTTTTGAAAGATAAGTAACTATATCCATTAAGCACTTCATTATTTATTTTCTACTATTTATATTTATCTTAATTAATTTCTCAAAGACATTCATGTTTTTTACTCTATCTTTAACCAGCATTTTATTTTGTAAAAAACCACAGCCATTTCAAGATAGAACTGAATAATATTGATGGTGCTTCATTTGAAGGTTTTGTTTTTGTGTTTATTTAGTTCTGAGGAAGATCATTTTGATTTAATCCCTTTTCAAATCCTCTTCATATGAAAGCTATGTGTAAATATTTGTTTTCTTATTGTTTTATGTGTTCTTAGTGGCAAGATGTATTAGATATCATATCAAAGGCTCTCACTGACAACAACGTGGAGTTTGCACAGATCAGTCGTGTGAAAACGTTTCAGGTATGTCATGAAGATTTCACTCATGTTTTTGGAGTGGATTTAGTTGCAGATTGAAACTGCTGCTAACTAGCTAACTTGAATTTATTGTATTGTATCGTATAAACCACACAAACTCCAGGATTTGAGTTCTTGATCAATTATAAAATTAACATTCAAATGCAAGGTAGGGACACTGTAGTTATTTTCTGTCTGTTCAGTTATACCCATAGCAAGACCATTTTCTAAAGACCTCCTGACTTGAGGTCCTTGTCTTTAATATAGGAAAAGATGGCACAGGATCTGCCTTTTGAGTGGGCAGGGGCCTCATGCCCCTGGGATTGGGTTCTAAAGACACTGTATCAGGCAAGACTGCCTAAGGTGAGGCTATCCTTACGTGACACCCAGCGCAGTGACAGGTGCATGCCCCAAGAGACAAACACAAAAAGACCGAGTGAAAATTGAGCAGATTCACGTCTTGATCTCATACTCGCTGTGACACACTCCTCCTCCTTCTCCCTCGCCGTCCTCTAAGCTCACATGGTTTCACTTGTGTACGTCACATGCACGTATCTTGTGATTCCACCCTCTATTGTAAAGAACAAGAGCGCCTATGTGACCCTTTGCCTTGGAAAGTACAGCAACAAGTTTACATTTTCTAAAATTGGTAATTTTACATTTAATTTTCTTAGTTATTACATTTCACAATGACTTGGATACCCTTAGGCATATTTAACATGAGCTGTAATAGATTGCTCTTATTTTTAACTGATCCAGCTAAAATTTAAATGTACCTTTCTTTTTTAGGAGAACCTTTCAGCATTTAAATATGATCCCCAAATCAATATTTTGCTGCTGCCCCTGCACACAGGTTCTAATGGATTAACTATCATTGAAGCGACTCACGTTCTCTTGGTGGAGCCCATTTTGAACCCTGCCCATGAGCTTCAGGCCATAGGAAGGGTGCACCGAATTGGACAAACAAAGTAAGCACTAATTAACGTCAGTCACGCTTGCTTCACGTCTCTGAGATACGAATCAACGTTTAAACTCTTCCTTTATGTTCGTCATAACCTAATCATTATTAATTACTTCCTTATTTATTAAATTTTCAAGTATTATTATATGACCAAAAGACATCTCAAGATTTTCAACCCTCCCTCCTCCAAGCAGCCAACTCCCCAAATTCTCACAGATTTTTGTCTTCCCTCCTTCAAAAACTACTCTGATCACTTCATCAGAAGTTTCTTAAAATATTTAAGACAACTGCAAAGTTGAAGGCATCTGTCATAACTCTGAAAAGAGTTGATGTTTGATATCTAAAGTAGCCTGTATTTAAAAGAAGACATGTCATGCACGACTGGAAACAAATAGGTCCTTTGTAAATTCTTCCCTTTGGGAAAAGACAGCCCCCCAGGTCTACTCTAAGAGATAATTCGATTTAGTTTAAGGCCCAAAGCAAACCTAAAGTGAATATTGTGTCATATGCATTACTTTTATTAAAACATCGGAATGGACAATTATCCTTCATAAGTCCTTTCAGAAGTATTACCTCCTGGTTGTTAGATACCTTGAATGTTTGGGAAAAAAATGCGTCTGTACTAAGCACTCATTAAATAAATATTGACTGAGCACCTACTAGATGTCAGGCGTTATGTTAGATACTGAAAATTCAAACTGAATGAGACGTAATCTGTTCCCCCAAGGAGGTCACTATGTAGTACAGGAAACAGATGATTTAACATACTGTAGCAGAGTGTTCAGAAATATACGAGAACTACTGTGGGAACAGAAGAAGAGGGTGATGGGTTGGGCACTAGAGAGACAGGAAAGGCTTCATTAGGTTGAGTCTTGAAGGAATAATTATTTCAAAATTGGGCTGGAAAAGGCTGCTCACGTAGCCAGAGAGAGTTGCGTGTGCAGAAACACAGGAGAGAAACATGATATTTCTGGAGACTGTGAGGAGTTTGAAATTGCTGGAGTATAAAGTATGAGGAGAGGATTGGCAGGAGATGAGGTCTCGTGTGCCATATTCAGAAATAATGACAGCTCTGTGAGCAACAGGAGAGCTAATGATGACTTTTTAATTTTAAGTGAGAAAAAGACGTTCTTCAAACAAACCCTTAGCAAAATATGGCAAAGTAATATAATTGTAATAAACGCAAGCTTGTTCTTAAGTACTACCAAGTGTCATTTAGATTTGTAGTTATGTTTTATTTAGTTGCCTTTTTGTTTCTTTGTTTTGTCTTATATTTTTAAACATTGACTTCCTGTCTCATCAGTGTTTTCTAAAGCGTACACTGGACTCGTCTCAGGCGTAAACCCACAAGTCTAAAAGGGCCATTCAACACTACTCGACCATCCTACTATGCTCCCCTAGTTAATAAATAGATTTTTCTACTTTCTGAGGAGACTATCTTAAGTCTTTGTATATATCTTCTTCCTCCCCGTTGACAACGATCTTGTCTCGTAGAGGGAAAACAGATACAGTCAGATTAGAAGTACCTCATCTTTCCATTACCAGCTTGAACTGTCTACCTGCATTCGTATTCACATACTTCATTCAGTACATTTTTATTGAGCACCTCCTGTGTGCCAGGCACTGGTCTAGTGATGGAGATGCCCTCATGGAGCTTAAATTCTAGTTGTAAGGGATTGGAAGACAGACAGATGGTAAACAATAAACATAAGTAAAATGTAGGTATGTTAGGAGCTGGAGAAGTAGAGCCAGGTAAGGGGATTAAGAGCACAGGTGGCTGGGTGGGAAGGCATGAAAGGTCTTATGGAGGAGGTAGCATCTGAACGAGGAGGTGAAAAATGAGATGGAGAAGAAAGAGAGAGGAAGTCATGTAGATGTCTTCAGGCAGAATGTTCAAGTAGACAGTGCACTCAGTGCAAAGGCCCTGAGTCAGGAGTGTGCCTGGTACATCTGAGGAATAGCAAGGGGTCAGACTTGCTGAAGGAGAGTGAACAAAGAGGAGAGAAGTAGGAGATGAAGTCAGAGAGCTGGGGGCGGGGTGTACGTAGGGCCCAGGAGGCTTTCACTGTGCATGAGATAAGGAGCCCCTGGAAGACTTAGAGCAGAGGAGTGACTATGATCTAACTTAAGTGTTGAAGGAATCATTCTGAGTGCCGTGTTCAGGCCCAGGGGAAAGGAAGCAAGAAAGAGCAGAAGCAGGGAGTCTAGTTAGGAGGCTGTTGCGGTAATCCTGGTGGGAGTTGAAGGTGACCCGGACCACATTAGAAGCAGTGGACGTGGTGAGAAGTGGTCAGGTTCTGGATATAGGTTGAAGGTAGAACCAATAGTACTGTGGACAGATTGGACATGGGGGGTGAGAGAGTCAAGGTCAACACCACGGTTTGGCCTGGACAACTAGGAGGATGAAGTAGCTCTCGGTTGAGCTGGGGAAACCAACAAGGTAGAGCAGGTTTGGTGAGGGAAGAACAGAATTGATTTGAGTTACAAGTTTGAGATGTTTGTTAGACATCATGTGGAGATTTCTATTCTGTGATTGGACACACAAGTCCAGAGTTCAGGAGAGAAATCTGGGCTAGAGAGAGGGGTTTGGAAGTCACCAGCATGTATGGTGTTTTTAAGTCCTGAGACTGAGTGAGATTACCCACGTAGTGAGCATAGATGGAGAGGACGACCAGGGTTGGAGCCAAGCCCGGCTTCTGGAGCAGACATGAGGAACAGACATCAAGAACCTGGCAGTAGGGATGAGCTTAGAGGAAGAGAAATGGGAGTGAGTTGAGGCAAACTCAGAAGGAGTGGTGTAGGGACAGCAAATTGCGGGGTTCATTTCTCATTGCCTCCGTCTTCTTGGTAAAGGGTATGGTCAGGCCATCGTCTGAGAGCGAGCAGGGTGGGAGAGGACTTACTGACTGTGGTGAAGGTTTGGAAATAAGGAAAGAGGTGTTCAGTAACCATTGCAGCTTAGCCAAGAGGCTCCCTTTGGGGCTTAAAGACAGCCAGGGATTTCCTGTTCTTTCCCTGGAGACTAAGAGCATCTTCCAAGCAGCACGTTACGTTCTGGGCAGGACCTGCCATCTCCCCCGCCCCCCAAAAAAAATCACTCCCCTATATTCCACCTCCACCTCCTTACCTCTCATTCTCTCTCACCCTTTCCAGTTGGGGTTTTGTCCCCACCATGCCACTGAAATGAGGCTCCTAATGTTATTAATGTCCTACTTCTTACCAGTGGTCCCTGAGGGTTCTTTTTCTCTATGTACACTCCTCAGATGAGCTCATCCAGTCCCAGAGCTTTAAGTAGCATTTATATGTGGAGGACTCACAAATGGATGTTCCCCAGCCCAGACATGTCCCTTTAGCTCCTGTCACAGATTCATATATCCAGTTCTATCTCTGCACATGTATCTGTGGACTCTGCACCTCCCCTTGGGTACCTATCTCAAAGAAACCTCAAGATTAACGTGGGTAAAATAAAACCATATTCCTGCTGCACTCCCACCCACCTCAAGCCTTCCTCATCTTATAGTGTGCCATTTAAGACTTGTCACCTCTACCTCCGACAGATATTCCAAATATATTGACGACTTCCTGTCCACTGGTACAGCGATAGTACAATCCACCTCCTACCTGGACTGCTACAGAACTTCTTAGCTGGCTTCTCGGCCTCCATTCTTGCTGCCTTACAGTCCGTCCTCCACACAGCAGCCAAAGGGGTTTCTAAAATATAACCAAGTATAACTCCAGTCATGCAGAAACCCACTGATGGCTTCCCATTATAGTCACAATAAAATCCAAGTTCCTGCTGTGTCCTACGAGACCCTGCGTGATCTGACCTCGGCCCCCCTCTCCATCTCACTGTCACCTCTCTTCCCCCATTTACAATATGCTTCTGCTGTGCTCGCCTTCTTTCTGCCCCTGGACCATTTGAAGTTTGTGCCAAGAATGTTTTCTTCCCAGGACTTGCCATTTATTTACTGTGTCTTCTGTTCCGATGCTCCTCCCACTCCTCCTTTGCTTAGCAGCCTCATTCCCATCAGTCATGTTTCAACTCATGTCAGCCTCCTCATGGCATTATCTGTACCTTGCAACTATCTGGTTTGTTTATGTGTTCGTTGTGTGTCTCCCTCGTCAGAATGTTAGTTCATTGAGATTAAATTGTTTTGTTCACTGCTGACCCCCCCAGCACCTTGATTAGTACCTGCCACAGAGGGCCAACTGACTAACAAATACAGCATATAACGTATGAAGTCTGTCCTTATTTATTTTAAGATGTATTTAAACTTATCATTGTTATGTACCTTCTAGACCTACTATTGTACACAGATTCTTAATTAAAGCAACAATAGAAGAAAGAATGCAGGCAATGCTGAAAACTGCTGAGAGGAGGTAGGTGGCAATTAACTGCAAGTCCACAGGGAGTTTTCCTGTGTGTATAAGATGGTGTAAGTGTTGGGAACGTCTTCACTTAGATGACCGTTTAGTCAACCAAAAGATATAAGTACAGATACTTTCTAAAAGCAAGATATGACAGTTTACCTATTCAGTGTTTCTCAGTCAATGCTCAGGACATTTTAATTTTTGACTCAATTTATTAATAGAGATTGTAATGTATAAAAATATATTCAGACTATCCTACATTTCTTTGCCACACTGGATTACTTTTTAAATGAAATCTATCTTTATGCCCCATCTAAAAGCCTTAGTCTGATATCCGTAAAATGAAATTTACAGTGCTCTTTACGTTATCACACATGTTAGTCACATGCAAGTAGGAAGATCTGGCTGAAAAATTCGGCTGGTAATTGTGGTGTTAATTCCAAAGGCAGAACAGCAGCACAGAGACCAGAACAACCTTTTTTTTTTTTTTTTAAAGATTTTATTTATTTATTTTTTTCCCCCCAAAGCCCCAGTAGATAGTTGTATGTCACAGCTGCACATCCTTCTAGTTGCTGTATGTGGGACACGGCCTCAGCATAGCCGGAGAAGTGGTGTGTCGGTGCGCGCCCGGGATCCGAACCCGGGCCGCCGGCAGCGAAGCGCGAGCACTTAACCGCTAAGCCACGGGGCCGGCCCGAGACCAGAACAACCTTTATTTTAAAAATTTAACTTTGGAATCATAAAACTTCCTAATATTTATTCCCTAATTTTTCTTTAAAGTCATTTGGAAAACGTAAACCAATGCCTTAACTCCCTCCTCGTGAGATAGGTCTGTACACACACCAGAGATGATTTCCTTAGAAGGGATTGCTGCCACAGAGCTACTTCACGTAGCAAAGAAGCAATTTGAATTCAGAAATTGTCTTCCGTTGGTGGTTTATGGGAAGGAAAGAGGCTACCACAAGAGCTTTTTGCCTCAAACGTGAAGGCTTTTTGTTATTGATGTTTCCATATGTAACAGAATTTGGTGATTGTATTTAAACCACCTCAATAAAATAGCAATTAGAAGAACTGTTGAAATTCTCTTGAAACAAATTAACTTTGTAAGGTGAGAGCCTTAGGAGCAGTTGGCAGGGGTTTTGTTTCTTTGTTTCCTTAATTGTGCAGAGAAAAAACATTTTATGACAAAGCCTGAAAATTGTATATGGAAGTCTTCACTAATTTTAACAAGACATGGTAATGACCCCATCATCTACTTTCTTCTGGGAGTTTCTTATGGTTCACTTACAAAAACTTAGGAATAAATATGTTTTTATACTATTATAAGAATATAATATTCTTATAGTCTTATATTATTATAAGTTATATTGTTATAAGACAAACATAATAATGTATTCCTTGGGGTTTCTTCCTGACTCTGCTCGCTTGGACAACCCCGCAGTCACACGAATTCGTCGGCGAAGCGCTCAGAGGCCTCCGTCCTGACCGTGGCTGATCTGGCAGACCTGTTTACCAAAGAGACCGAAGAGCTTGAGTGAAGTGCCCCTGATGCAATCCACAGAATGATGTATTTAAAACTTTCATAGCTTCTAGAGCAAAGTTATAAGACAAAAATCCAGTGGATGTCAGTCAGCACTGTCCTTGGTTGAGTGAATTTCTCTTTTTCAGTTGTACAATGTCCTAGTCGTTATTAGGTCCTTTTCAATATAGTTTCCAAAAGATCTATAAAGATTTTTAATTTTACACTCCTAGTAAAACATTTATTTTTGTTCCAAAGAATATCTATATCTGAGAGAATTAAGAGAGGTAACATGTACTTTTCTTTTGATAAGATCAGTCTTAAAAAGAGTGGGAATAAGAGAAAGTAAACTAGCCTAGTTTATATGACCTCGTGTATTTAACCAACATAGATCTCGTTTTTGGAAGGGCCTTCAGTATCTTTAGCACATGATTCACCAATCTTTTGTTAGTAATATTTTAAGTAAATGGTGAATTATGTTAACTCCTAGTTATTTGAGTAGGTTTAGACTGTAACGCCATGCATAGTAACTTTACAGTAATACAACTTCTAAATAAGTTAATATTAGGCAATGATTTCTTTTCTGTGTACCTTGCTACTAGAAATTGAAACACTGAAAACTTTTCGTATTTCTATTTTACATTAAGGAGTATCAGTATAAGCAGTTAACTTTAAATAGCTTTTTCAAGTGTGTTAACATTTACCTTAAAATTATCTAAACTGCTTCCTCTACTTTTAATTTTTCCTGTTGTTAAGTTTTTACATGTTTTAAGATTGATGTATCTGTAAATATTGCAATTTTTATAATTTTAGTTCCTATCATTATAACATGGAAATATGGCAGGGGTTTTTTTAGTCATTATTACACTGATGTCTTGAATTCCTTTCCTTTCCCACTTTCTTGTGTAACTAGACTTTAAACCATTAATGTCTAAATTTATGATAGGGTTTGTTATTTTATTCTCCTAGAACTCCCCTCAAGGCCTAATATTTGATTTGTGGAACAAGAAAATGTTGTATTCACATAAGCAAATAGTTGCAAGTGATAGTAACCTAGGGTTTCTTCTTCTGTGAAGAATTAATGGACTTTGAAACTGCTAAATAAGGAATAGCTTGTATTCTAGCCATTTGATGTAATACGAACGTTTTTGTTTTGTTTTCTTTGAGCCTTCAGAGTTTTAAATGACCCTCAGGACTCATTAGCTCCTGCTTAGCTGCCCAGAAAACTGTAACAGAAATACCCCTGGATCACATCTGTCTGCGAGGCTCTGGTGCTTAGTTAAGGTGCATTTTCTTATTCTAGGTTTATAGGGTGACATAATTCAACCGAAGAAAACACACACACATTTTTGGTGCTTATTCTTCAGTTGAAGGGAGATATGCATTGATTCTTTTATATGAAATTAAACAGAACTATTATTTTCGTAGCTCTTTACATATGATAAAGAGCTTTCCTGTACAGTCATGTGTTTCATTTGCCCAGCAATCCTGTCAAGTTGATATAATTAATATCATTCCTGTTTTAAAGGTAGAGAACTAAGGTTTGGAAATATGGAGAAACGTGTCCATGACACGTAGCAAGTAAATGGTGGAGCCCAGGTCCCGACTCCAAATCTCATGTCCTTTTTCTAAACCATATGTCTTGCTGAGATTCAGAAGGTCCATGGTTATAATTTAATGGTGAGCATATTTCAATATTTCTTTTTGTTTGTTTCCTAGAATTCCTTTTTGAGCTAAAGTTTTAGGGAAAACAATTTGATATGCTTCAATTTTGTAAAAAAAAAATAGAGAGAGATATATAAAAATATACCTATCTGTATTAGAGAAAAACTGCTCTTATTTATTTCTGTAAGATATTATCAATTAAATAAATATTTTAGTGGAAATTGAAATTTGAGAATTTATTTAATTTCTGACTGTAGAACATGCAGTGGGGGTTTTTTTGTTTGTTTTGGTCTCTCAACAAAAGATGTTAAAATTGTTTACACTACAGAATCTTATATTTCGTAGACATTTGTTATTTCTTCAAAACAGTCGTGACAGTTCTTCCAAATAATTGTTCAAAACAAATACAGATCTAATCGCCACATCTTCTTGGCTGCAAACAAAGAACTTTTTGGTTTTCTTCTTCCATCATTTTATATTGTCTGAAATATCACTGTGCTTGTAAATAGTTGTTCTTAAATGGTTGCTGTGCTAATGAACCAGTGAGAGAAAATGATAGAATCCCAATGCTTAGCTTAAATGTGTTTGGATCTGGGGATTTTCCATTAATGAATCCAGGTGAGTTTACCAGGACTGAAAAGACTTACCAATAGACAATGTAAAATACATGTACCTAAATCCGTAGTCTTTTGCCTCAAACCTGGATAGTTTTACTATGCTAATTGCAGCTTCAACTTTTCTCTTTGGTGTGATCTAGACAGAATGATCCATGCATTTAGTTTTAAGTATGAGTCCCTTTCATATCACATTAATAACAAGAAACTAAAAACTCGCAACATAATGATCTGACATGTAACCACAAAGACTTTACAAATAATTATCAAACTTAACAATACTTATCAAAATACTTAGGAGTTGAATTTAGCAATGCACGATTCATCATCAGCTCAGGCTACCCTTTCAAGGGGACAAAGGAAGAAATTATATCTTTTAAAATTTCTCTTGCTCTCATTCGCTAGTTCTCCCGAGATTTCATGTGCTGGAGTTCTTGATTAAACTGTAGAATAGCCTTTGGGAATGCAGAAAGCACCTATGCTAAAGGACCTCGGGCTTAGTTAAATTGAATAAAAAATCTTTCAGTTTTTTAGGATTTAAAACAAAATCCCACAATAATATGCTGTTTCATAGTTTTTAACTGGCATACCACTGTAAAAATGAAATGGCATTGAAACAATACAGTACAAGAATGCATTGTAGGCCTATCTACTCTGATAAAGGAAATCTTTAATAAAATTTCTTCAAATTGAGATCAGTTAACTATGTTTATAAAATTTGCAGGAATCTCCATGTGCCTCTGTGACACTGTGAAGCCCACGTGAGTGCTGTCACATGTGAGGGTTGAATATGAACTACTTGCAAGCCTTGCTTTAGAGGAAGGCTATGTGGGTAATTGATAACCCCAAAAGGAATTCAAGTCTTGCAATAGGTATGTGGTGGTGTCTCCAAGTTATAGAACAGATAGTGTCACATACAGAAAATAGCACGAGAACTTGGCAGGGACCAAAGTTGCCATCTCCAGGCTTCCCTTGCCTTCAGTCAGCCTTTCAGGGGCATGCATATCTTGTCTTTGAAGGTCCCAACCATCCCTGGGATCCTGGTCCATTATTTAATATTAGTGACTCTGAATACTGATTTTGTTCATGAAAACCAACTTTGTTATATTGAAACCAAACCCTTTGTACTGCAGCTTATGCTTTTTTTCTTTCAAAATAGAAATAAAACTTAACCTCCATTTTCTGTGTAATGATCATTTGTACAGGTAACTATTGTTATAAAATTATTCAGTAAGTTTCTTTCTGCCTATCCAATATTCCATTCCTTCAGCCTTTTCTTAAAAGTCTTCCTCTCCAAACCCCTTTGGCATCTTTGTCTCCTGGTAAACCTGCTCTTAGAGCTCCACACCCCTCATAGAGCCTCTTCAGGGAACAATTTTGTCCAAGGACGTATTTTCGACATGTGGGATCTTTTCAGATCTGTGAATTGTATGCCTCACAGTTCTGATCACTGACCCTTCCAGTGCCTTAAGGAGCAGACATTTGTGCCCAAATTTCCTAGTTTCTCCTCACTTTATTAATAACTTGTTTAGGGTGTATCTACTGAGATTACCTGTGCTTTTTTCAAAACCGTTTAGTTTGTATTTACCACATCCCTAATTCTGTACTCAGAACTGTAAAGGCACCTTATGCCCCTTCTGTTTCCCACCTTCAACAGTCAAACAAGTGCTACATCCAGTTATTTTCCAGACTCTTCATACAAATTTCCATTGACTAAGATGAGGGCATTACTGCCTGTTGATTATGTTGAATATGTTTTCCTTTGACTGTCACGGAATGGTGGTAACGTTGGTAAATGCAAACCTGTGTTTTAAAAGGGAATGTATTTTAGTGCCTGATCTTGCTTTATTGTATCAGAATGTTTATAAATGATTAGCTATTAAACTGTTAAGGCATCATTGTGGAATATTGTATTTACTTAAAATGTCCTCACTGCTTTTCACTTTGCATGTCCTTATATTCTGCAGGTCACCATTCCTACCCTACACTCATGTTCAGCTTCCCAGAGAATTGCGTACCAGCATGATATGGTACAAATAAAGACATTACATAGCACTTCTGTCTTCCTATTAAGTTGTTAACGATGACTCAATTAAGCAGACATCTAATCGATGCAGTGAGTTGTTTTTAAGGGATGATCATTTTTACTCATAATCTTTGCGTACAGCAAAAGATTAGCACATTTCCTTCTTAAATGGCTTTGGCCTTCATCAAGGTAAAGATCTTTACTGAGTAAATCACTTTTTAACTCTCTTCCTTTCTTCCTATCTGCTCTTTTCCTCCTCAGTTTTGGAAGTGTATGTCTAAGTGATACCGAGCAATGGGCTCACTCTGCTCGCTGCAATCTGAGCCAATTAATCACAACGAGTTAGGTATCGAGAAAGGAAGTTTTAATTCAGTTAGCTGGCATAATCAGGAAGATGGCATATTAATGTCTCAAAAAAGCCATCTTCAGAAATTACAGAATCTTGAGGTAGTTATATAGGGAAAATGGGCAGTAAGGAGGGAGTTTCCTTCAGGAAACATGATGGGCTCCAAGGTCTTTCATTGTTCCATTCTTCTGTCAGCTGTAATGGATACCTTGTAGGTATATTTCCTACCTGTAGTCAGCCTGTTCCTGGAGAGAAACTCATAAAGCAAAGTTTTAATTTATCAAGCTATCGAGGAGTACATACGTAAGCAGAGGCCATAAATCAGGAGAGCATGTGAATTTTTTTAGAGTATGTGCAGAGCAGTGAGTAGTCACACAGGAGGGGCTGGGGCCATTTAACGTAACAAGATGGCCTCACTTATGCTCACTTACTTATCGGAAAAGCAGTTTATCCACCATTACACAAACGAGTACTTATCAGACCCCCACCCATGCATTCCTGACCTGGAGGCAGTGGGCTCCGGAGGGGAGAGGCTCCTCCGATGAGCCTCAGAGAGTAAGCCCCCAAGTTGTGTGCAGTTTGCAGCTCCCAGAAGAGAGTCCACCTGTATATACCAGCCCAAACTGACAAAGACATAACCCACATAAAAGTTTTTTAGGGTCTTCAATAATTTTGATGTATATAAAGTTCCTGAGACCAAAAAGTTTGAGAACTACAGTAGCCTGTTTTTAAATTAT